TTTTTTTTTTTTTTTTTGCATTAAAATAAACAAGAAATTAACTTACATAGAAAGAGAAAAAAATAAAAAATAATTTTCTTTCTTAAAAAAGACTAAAATTTTAGCTTAAAAACAAGTAAAAGAAATAACAGTTGTTATTCTTTAAACTTTAATACCACCCCACTTTCAGGTGGCATAGGCAGGATTTCTGAGCTGACATCTACTGGTGTTGATGGTCCGGTGTTATCGCCAAGATTGCTACTACGAACGACGACATAACCATAAGCTCGATTCCTAGCACTTAGTGTCGGTATATCGGCAAGGTGCAATTGTACTGATGAGGTCCCAAAATTGAAAGCAGCTATGTAAAGCTGAAATTCCTCCAATATATCATTTGAACCAACTGAACCAATTATTTTTCTCGGCACTCTTATTTTTGGCACTTAGAAGACAGATAAATCAATTTTAGCAAACTTGTTAAAACTTTTCATTCTCCATACTCCACCTTCAAAAAAGTTTTTTATAAACAGAAAAATTTTCACATTCTGCAAAAGCAATAATAATTTTTTTTTGATTTATAACATGCCAAACAATAGTGCAAAACAAGAAACTCATATCTTTAAAGCACCAACATTTCCATAGGCCCCAGTAGTGTTATAGCAGAATCTGGAAATTGTGAAGCCATTATCTGTTAACCTTCCAACAAATGTTGCTCCACGCATCAGCGTTTCGTCTGTAGACCGTAATTCAGCTAAAGCTCGAAAAGTTTTCAACTGAGAATATTTGTCGTGCATTTGTCTCTGAAAACGTATAATTACAGTTTGCTGTAGACCCCACATAACATGGTGTATACCTGCAACCAATGATAAACCAGATAAATCTTTGTTCTGATTTACAGGTTCGTGAAACAACGTTTGTTTATATCAGACAACAAATACGTGTAGAAAGCTGAGAAAGGCATTCTATAAGATCTGAGTGAAGTAAACAACAAAAATCTTCGTTTCAACTGTTTCTACTTTCCTACCTCGAAGTTAATGTTCTTGTAATCAGCATGGATCCCGACACTTGGTTCGTCAGAATCACTAAACCCAGCATTTTTCGAATCATCCCACTGCATAGCTCCCTGTTGCGGCGGTGTCTAAACAAAAGCCGATTTAGTTGCTGACAGTAAGATCTTTTAATATGGCAAAGTGAGGCAACCAGCACATAAATTCTATTTTGAAAAAACTGAGCTTTTCTAATAATAATTAAACACTTAAAACCAATACCTTCGTATCGTTGATCAAACCTCGCATGCCAATATCTTCACCATAGTAAAAACTGTTTGTTCCAGGTAGCATAAATTGTACCATTGTCAACAATTCACCTTGACTTCTAGAACGAATTCGACTGGCTAATCGTTGTAAACTTGGATTTCCAAACTAGAATTCGTTAAACTTTTTCAACCCTTTAACATCTCTCAGCGACCTGCCCAATTTAAAATTTAAAACTTTAATATCTAAAACTGAGAAAAAATACCTTTCAGGGAGTTCAGCAAACTTCACAATATCTTCTCTTTCGATGCCACAATTTGATGTTAAACATAACAAAGAAAAATAGGATAAAATGACTCAATTAGCGGAAACCTAAACCTGCCATAACGGTATTTTATCTGGATTTTCGTTGTAGAAAACAAGCATGTCGGAAAGAATTTCGTGAGTGCATCCACCAATGTGATTCGTACCGCCGCAGATCTGACTAGACGCAGATATAGAGCCAAGTTCATAGTTGACCACTGAATCTAGACCAGCTCTAACCAGGCTATCTTTTTCATTTTCATCAGCATCGTAACGATCTGCGAATAATATTCTGCAACACAGTTGTTGCTATTCATTTTTTGTAGTCGTCTGTTTTTACTTATGTACATAAGAAGTTATTCAAATATCATGTAAATTCAACAAGTAATCTAAAAAAAAAAGCTGAATCATAAATAAACGATTAAAAAGATGTCTGTTGGTAATTAAGAAACTAACATTTTCTTATTTTGGACAACACTACTTTCCCTGGAATACGTATCGACATGATTTCGTATATCACGAATAATATCTTGAATACTGTTCCAGTTCTGAAATTTTCAAGAGCTTAGATAACTTCTACACTAAAATAAATAAAAATTTTTTACCATAAATAATTGCTAAATTTAAAAATGAACAACAAAAAATTTAAAGCTTTCAGCTATTTAAACTTTTAAGCAACTCACTCAATAATGCATATAGATAACAGCAAATTTTTCAAACATCAAAATAGCTGTTATAATTTTTGATGTAATGATCGTTTGAAAAATTATTGACTATGCAACAAAATTTTTATTGCCATCAAAGCAAAAAAAAAATTGTTGCCTTTTTTTTCTCATTTCTTTAAAAAATTGCCATTTATGCAGAGCAATAATAAACAGTTTAGAATAAAGAAAATTATGCAAAAAAAAGAAGCAACTTACAGGCTCTTTTCCACCGGGTGTTCGAGCCAGATATTCGATACTGGACAAATGAAAACCGTCAATCCCTTTATCAATCCAAAATGATAAAATTCCCTAAATTTTTTTATCATTAATTTAGTGCATATTTATGTGCATTACTGATATTTTATACAGTGGAAGAGAAAACGAAAAAAAGTGAATGAAAAAAAACTTGGACTATTCAAAAACAGTAGAAATTTAATGTTTTATTGAGCTGTTGCAGAGAAAAAAAATCTGCTTTATTATTTTACTAAAGA